AGACTTCACTCTTGTTTGAATATAAGAGAGGGGGACATATGGAGTTGAGAAGTTGAGCGAAGGAGAAGTGCTTTGACATTGGTTCTTTGCTGGTGTACTTCATCTTCTTCCTTCTTACTACTACTTCTTCTTCTTCTTATCCTCTCAATCCTCTCAAGTTCATTCATTTCTTTTGCAATTGGGCAGCATTGTGCTTTATTGGTGAATTTGTACTTCGCAATTGGTCCGGGTCATAACACAGCGGAAGACTTGACCATGCGATATGACAGAAAACACTAAAACTGCAAACTCCAAGAAGGACAAAAGATGGGGCCACGTCATACCTCGAAACTGTGAGTGCATGTGTGTGCATGTGGGTGTGCATGTCCTAATTGTGTCCAGTCTCTTTTCCGCAGGGCCCCTACAGTGAACTAGCAAGGACCCATCGTGAAGCAGAGATGGCCGTTAGACTTCCAGATTTGCATGAGTGGGCCGGGAATATATAGTCTGGATTCGAATTCAGGTCTGTGTTATGAACCTGGTTGTTTGTTGTCAGAAGACCAACACTCGCTCACTTAGACTTCCAGGTATGCCCATACATACACAGAAGGAAGGGAAGAGGATGGGAGTATCACACCGCACAGGGAGAGATGAACACAGCGGAAGACTTGACCATGTGATATGACAGAAAACACTAAAAGTGCAATTCGCTCCACAGAATCCCCACAACCAGTCACAAAGGAAAGCCGAGTAGATCACATCCAGGAAACAATGAAGCAATTATAGTCCACACACAGTATTCACACTGTTTATTAAACTCAGTCTCGAAATGTCAGAATAACCTCAGAACCATGGTGCGCTGCTCAGGAATGAGCAGCAATTCATTCCCCAACCCTAAGTAACCGCTATTACTACCCCCGAGTCCCTGAAACAACTAGGCCATCCAAATACTGCCTCCAGAGGGAAGCGATACCCTGAAACAGGCCTCTGAGGCCAAGCGCCTCTCAGAGGATGAAGAAGAAGACCAGCCCCACAGTCTCTAATGAAGATGGTGTACCAGGTGTCTTCACGGACGAAGTTCTGCAGCAGCGACACCTCTCCTGACAAGATGATCTCTGAGGATGAAAGCTGCAGCTATGGCTGCAGCGCCACACACCCTGATACCCTACTCATGAGGAGGGTTCAGCAGGGCACCAACTTCTCTAGACTTCAGCAGACTTCAGATAGCCCGGACCTCTGAACAGCCCCGCATGCTGTCAGAGAACAGCGCAGGTCCCAGCTATGGCCGACTGTTACATGCCCAATTGGGAGATGTACATAAATAACCGAGGATCCGCAATGTGATAAAAAGGACTGAATGGACAATGCAGTGCAAGTGAAATCTCAACAAGAAGTGTACATTCTGACACATACAAAAATAGTGCTTTATAGCGCAGGGGAAGACTTAGATACAAGTCCTGACCAGACCGGGACTGACCTATACAGCGCAGCAGAATGCTAGAATACCAATGACTAGCCCAATCATACATCATCCTCATCACAAGGTGTGAAGGGGCCTGGTGCTACACACAGGAAGAATGCGCCAGGTCCAAATCATGCACAGACGAAGAGAAGGGGAACAGACGAAGAAGAGGGGGAGAGATGGGAATGTTGTCAACCCTGAGTCTTTGTTACAAGTCCCAAATAATCCCTCGTCAAAATGCCTGAAGCCCAATGTCGAGTCTGGATCAAAATGTCACCAAGCCCGCTCTCTCATAGTACGCTGATGCAGTGAAGTCAGGTAGTGAGAGGGTGAGAGGGAGATGGTGGACTGAGAAGAGGAAGAAGAAGAACTCTCTCTCTCTCATATGCCAGGTACTAACCTGTGAAGATGGCGCTGTGCTGCAGGTACCTCGAAGGCGAAGCTGGAGCTATGGCGCTGCAGGTAAGTATCCCTGGCCTCCGCCCAATCTCTCTCTCTCTAGTACTACTCTAGCTCCTAAGAGCGCCCAGCGCTGAAGACTACTGCTAACGCTACTAGCGCCCAGCGCTGAAGACTACTGCTAGCGCTACTACTACTCCTACAGCGCTCCTCCAGAGTGCTGCTGCCGAATCCTGAAGACTACCTCCTGCCTCCTAAACTGCATGTGAAGTGCCTGGGAAGTACCTAGGAACTACCTAGCAACTACCTGCGGCCTGCAGGGCTGGCCAGTCCTATATACTGCTGGCCCGTCCAGGAGGCTGCTCTTGTCAATGCCGAAACGTGCCAGACCCTGGCGTTGAAGCTCAACCAGGGGTTGTCTTGAAAACAGGCCCAGAATGGCCTGTGCTAAAACCCTGATTTGGTGCCTGAGTTTCAGGGCAGGTCGAACTCATGAGGGCCTGAAAATGGTCCTCAGTTTCAGGTTGAAAAGACTCAGGGCCGGAAAGGCCCTGATTTAGGCTGAAACGACACAGGGCCTGTAGGCCCTTGTTTTCAGGCTTTCAGGCTGAAACGACATGGGGCCTGTAGGCCCTTGTGTTCAGGCTTTCGGCCTGAAAACATCACGGGCCTGAAAGTGGCCCGTGCAGCCTGTTGCAGGCGCAGCATGTAACACCGACGCTTCGCAGGTCCGGCTATGCCTGTCTTCTCCAACGCTGAAGCTGTCACCACTCCAGTTCATGTGTTGCACAGCAGCAACGTACACGGTACCAACTGCCAAAAGCCCTGAACCCATCCCTACAAACTATTAATAGAACTACACCCTAGCCTAGACCTAGACTGGACTGACTGGACCGACCGGTACCGTTTCAGTTTTGGCCTCTCGGCCTCTCCCTACCCGGCTATAGGCTATAGGATCGTCTATTGGCATAGGCCATTACGGCCTGTCCGTCCTAGGGGTAGCCCGGGTCTGCTATTCGCAGTTAGGGTAGCTGTAGGAAATTCCAGTTAGTGCAGGCCTATATTTTCCCGAATCAGAGATATGTCCCTCAAGAATTTCCCTTACAGGCAGGTCTCTCGGTTAGCCCTCGGCCAAACAAAATTACAAATCTAGCCTACCTATGTTACAGCCTTGGGTCGACGGGTCACCGGTGGCAGCAAACAGCAAGTCATTGCATCTGTGTATCAGCGGTTATGGGTCACTATTTCCCTGTTTTTTCCTTTTTCTTTTGTTAGGAATGTGTGCAGTGGCCCTAGGGGCCTCTAGTCACCACATGCACAAAAGACAAAACATATGGCGGCACATTATTCCACGTTAGCAGAAGATTCATTCTAATTTTGCACATTTGGTGAGTAGTGCAGCCGAGCCCTGAGAATCAGGTGCAGTGACCAACAGGGCCTAGCTAACTGAGCAACCCATAACTGCTGAAAAACAGACCTGAATTCGAATCCAGAGTATATATTCGGCCAGCTCCTGCTCCACTTCATACTCATCGCCTGCCTCGATTTTGGTGGAGAGTCTACGCTAATTTGCTGCGAGGACCCTTCAGATTACCCGCAGGTGTGTGAAAGGGATCCTTTGCTCTCTCTCTCTCTCTCTCTCTCTCTCTCTCTCTCTCTCTCTCTCTCTCCTGTATACACACAAACCCAATAATATAATATAATATAATAATAATAATAATAATTATAATTATAATAAATTTGAGCGCATCACTAATTTGCGAATGGCGCATGGCGCACGCGCACGGCACGGCGCACGGCAGAAGTGCGCTGCAAGTATGATATAAACATGATGTTTGCTAGGCTACTTGACTCGCCAGGCCATGGAACCCGGGGAAGTCGCCCAGGGGTCACCTGCAACAATCAGCCCTTTTTTCCGTTTTTTTTGGGAGGGAAAGGGGGGGGGGGGGGGGGGGGGGGGGGGGGGGGGGGGGGAAGAGGAAGGGTAGAGGTTTTCTGAGCATGGCCAGAGGAGCCCAAATCCGGGCTCCTTCCTTTTTCCGAGCATTGGCTTTCAAAGGGGCGGAAGTGGGGTATAAATTGGTTTTTAAGGGGCTAAATGGGTTTGAAGGGGGTGCCCCTTAGTCTGATTCTGTTGTTTTCTTTTTTCTTCTTTTCTGTGAGGAATTTGGATGTGACCTTCGGCCAAAAGTCGTTTGTATTGCAATTGTACACAGCTTTTCTTTTTCCTGCATTTTATTTTTTTTGGCGCTCGGGCTGCCCGTAACCCTACCCGGGGTTCATGCCAGCTAGGCACCCGGGCGTGTATCCGGGCACAAGTTGGGTGCTCAGGCGCCCAGAGAAACAGCCTAAATATCTGTGATATATTACCGGGCAGTTCTGTTTGTGACGATATATAGTCAAACGTACCTGCCCTATTTTATTTTATTTTTTAATTACTCGCTGGCATAAGCAACCTATACAGTCATACATCCTTCCAGTGGCATGCACAGTAAGCACAAAAAAAGAGGCATTGATGTCTGGGAATTAGTAAAAAGAAAAACAAACGAGGCAGGGGAGAGCAGCTCACCCTTGGCTACTAAACTCTGTGCAAACCATTGAAAACTGACAACCTTGATGCCGTCCCATTTTATCGCTACCTTGTACTTGTTTCCTGTGGCAGAGTTTTACCATGTCAAGGAAATTACTCCACACTGTCATCAGTAACACCCACAACAAGCCATCACACAGAGAGAGAGAGAGAGAGAGAGAGAGAGGAGGAGGAGAAGAAGAAGAAGAAGGTGCATCCTGCAGCCCCAACACACAAGGCCAGTCCCTGTCAGTCCCCCTCTCCACACACACACACACACACACACACACACACACACACACACACACACAGAGTTGGTCTGCCGTATGTGTATGCCTTCAGTGCCCCAACCCACAGAGAGAGTGCGACAGAGAGAGAGAGAGGAGGAGAATAAAAAGAAGAAGGTGCATCCTGCAGCCCCAACACACAAGGCCATTACCTGTCAGTCCCCCTGTCCACAGAGAGAGAGAGAGAGAGAGTCCACAGAGAGAGAGAGAGAGAGAGAGAGAAAGAGAGAGAGAGAGAGAGAGAGTTGGTTTGCCATATATGTATGCCTTCGGTGCCCCAACCTCTAGAAACAGCACGTTTTTTAAGAGAAATTGTCGCTAGTAACATACACTTCGCCTCAATTGAGAACCAGATCGAACACCAGAAAGACAAAGACGGATCAGCTTCTACAGCAATACCACAAAGCTATGGTGAAAGTTAGGATATGTTCGCAATAAGGTGTGTGCAGGTCCTTGTGAGGTCGGCGCTGTACGTTCCCCCATAGGCACGTGTTTGCACCTCGATCTCCTTCCGCCGCTCTGTATATATCAGATCAGACAAGCATGGCACCACAAAAAAAAGCCCATTTCAGAAAGATACAGCTCAACAGTCAACAACTTCCAACATTCCTGATCCCTGCTAAAGAGCTCCATAAGCCAGTTCCACACAGCAGTCCCATAACTCTGTCCTGCAAGCCAGTCCCACAAGCCAGTCCTGCAGACCAGTGCCACAAACGAGCTCCGCAAGCCAGTCCCGCAGACCAGTCCGACACGCCAGTTCCGCAGGCCAGTCCGACAGACCAGTCCCACACACCAGTTCCACCAGCCAGTCCCACAAGCGAGTCCAAACAAGTCAATCCAACAAGCCAGTCCCACAAACCAGTCTATTGTGCAACGTCGCACAAGCTGACAAGAGCCACACGATCCCAGGTTCACACGATAGATCCAGCCAGATCCACAAAACCAGATTTTCCAGTCCAGTCCTGAACCCAGAGCCAGCAGTCAGACCCGCAACGCAAAACGAATCTGTTTAAGCATGAGAATTCAGTGGAGATAAGAATATGTGACCAATGGCATACTTGCACTTTGCTTAAACGTATCTGAGTGTAACTTATGCTCGGGCGTGGATGAATGTGACCACAATCACATCCAGAGCTTAGTAGAAAAGGTGCTAGTCTGTGAGCATGCCCTGCAAAAAGATGCACAGAAAGCTATTAACAATCGTTTAACATTTATAATGCTGCTCCAGCTCAGGGTTATCATTCATGATTTCTTGCAATGATCAAGAAAAAATCAGTTGAGCAAAAAAAACAAACAAGAGAAATCAGACTAAGCAAATAACTGCCGGGATTCACTCAACTATTCCTCCATCTCTAAAAATAGCACTAAACTGATGACACACACCTGGGGAAACGCCTGTGGCACTGATGATAAGACCCTTGAAGGGTGGGAGGCGGAAATCTTCATGAGCAACCAGCCGATGCTCTGACCAGCACTGCTCAACCCACTGGACGGAAATGGTAGGTATCTTCAGATCGTTTGCCCACTGCGTAACAATGCATAACAAAAAGAATTGCACATGGCAAGACATGCACCGTTAAGCAAAACTCAATATGCTTAGATTTGAACATTTTTATTTTTATCAAGCGACCAATAATCTATCATCATCGCGCCTGCCTGGTAGCTGAACAGTGCATACATGTATATGATGATGATGAACAGATCAGGTATTCAAATCCTGTTGGATGAACGTTGATACCATAACCCTGAAATGCGTACAACCAACAACAAAAGGCGAAAACAGAAAAAATGCTAAGCCCTCTCTGAGGGCCCTTATTCTGGCAATTCTCCTCCCAGATTTAAGGTGACATGTAAGGTATGACAGAGGGGAGGAGGAAGGCAGAAACAGGAGGAAACAGGAGGAGAGAGGAGGAAAGAGGAGAAGAGAAGGAGAGGAGAAGGAGAGAGAAGTCGATAGGAGGGAGGATTAAAGGCATAAGAGAGAAGGAGATAGGAGGGAGGATGAAAGGCATAAGAGAGAAGGAGATAGGAGGGAGGGTGGAAGGCATAAGAGAGAAGGAGAT